GACGTTCTCCGGGCAGCTGAGGTTTGACATGGTTGTGGTTTGACTAATGATTTGACTTTCAGGACAACACATGCATGTGATTTGAATACAAGTGAGAGCCTCTGCCGTGCGCGTGTTGCAGCTCGTTGGTATCCTCACAGCAGTGAGTGAGGTGAAAGCGTATCTGAGGAAATATTTGTATTTCCATTTGTATTTTTTTCAGCCATCGAGGTAGATTTAATTTTTTCCATTTTTACTTGGGTTTAAAGTCTTTTCTGTATCATCTGTATCATCATGATCATCTCAACCAAACAGCAGACCTGTTTTAAAAACACAAATGTGAATTATCTCTAATCCCTTGGCACAGTATGTCCCTTTCATGTTTCACTCATGTGATTCATGGTGCGTTCAGTAATCTGTGTCCATCCTGCCCAGCCATGTCTCCCTCTGTCTTCAAACAGAAATATTCTGTTTTCTATTGGCTCTAAGAAAAACAGTTCCTCTAAGGGCTGCAAACAAAAGGTACAATAAGTCTTGAAAGACTGAACTTATTCTATGCAGATCCTTTCAGTTTCCTCAAACAGTAACGACCACTGGCAGCCTAAAGGAAGGGGAACCTAATTATCTTTGTGTTCATTCAGAACAAAAACAGAAGAGACACAATAAAGTATAGTTGAAATATTAAAAAATGAGTAAATATATGCAATGATGGCAAACAAGAGGAGTGCTTTTTAGGTACTTGAATGTAATTCCCCAAATAACACAATTGAAAACATTAAATAGAAATAATTTCATAAATGGAAAATATAAAGAAACAAATTATAAAAGGAAAAAGAACTAAATGTTACATTAATTATGACAAGAAAACAAATTGGGATGAAACAAAAATGTAAATGATGCGACAAAAATAAAATAAGCTGAGAAAGAAATGATGAAAGTAAATCTATAATAATAAAAGGAAGAAAAAAATGAGTGCAAATAATGGAATAAAATAATAATACAATGCTACAATAAGCAGCACTATATATGCTACACTCAGCACATAAGTCTTATGATTGCAGGTCAAGACAGAACAATGATAATAGAATGAACCAGATGGAGGGTTTGAGTGATCATCCAACATTTCATGAATTATGATGGTTTATTGTTGCTCTGGTGTGTCATAGTGGTGGACGAGCCATGTGCTAACAGTGCTATCACGTTAGCACGTGGCTACATCCTGTTTAGAGAGGGAACAGGAAATGGAAGGATCGTCACGGAAATGGGTTGGTCACCCAGAGCTTTATAGTGACTGGGAAAAGAATATAAATTCTCTTCAGTTTCTGTTAACTGATAAAAAAGACTTGTTTTTATGTAGTAAAGTCATTTTTACTTTCCTTGAAAGCTAAACAGATTTCTCCTAATTTTCTTTCCTATCAGAAACCAGAAAACCACATCACAGTCTCAAAGGTTTGATGTTTACCTCAAATGACCTCAACACAGCTTCTCCTCTGAACAGACCCGCTGGCCCCAGTGCAAATATATATTAGTTTCCTTTTCTGTTTTTTATGACAATCCAAAGGCGAATAACCTTTTGCATTCCTGAAAGCCATAAAGCAGCGGCGGTGTGCAGCCAGTCATTCTACAGTTTGCTTTAACCGGGGGGCGTTTTTGGTAAATGGACAGAAAGTTGATTTTGGAATTTTCAAACGATATCTCTTGCATCCACTGACAATAGGAAATCCACAACTAAATAAAGAAGAAAAAAAAGTCTTTTCTGTGGTTGTTTTTTCACCAGAACGCCTTAATGGAGACAGATGTTCTGTCTGCAACAGAGCAAATCTGAAACGTATAGAATCATCTTTCTGTTGCACTTGGGGCTAAATTCTGCAAAACCTCTTTAAGGATGGAGGTGAAGGTGGGTGGAAGTGGGAAACTCCCACTCCGACCCATAAAGCAGCTGATAAGAGACTGTTGTTATCAGGCTGAAAGATTCATAGTGCGGCTGTTATACATTTCTCTAATTATTAACTGACTCGCCACCCAAAAATATTCTCCATGTTTAACGCATTAAACAATAGAGAATCGTTCTGAACTGAAGTCCATTGACTATCCTGCTTCAGGCGTTTCTTTAGCTAAATGAATCCAAGACTTAAACCAAACGACATGACCTCAGCTTGCAGCAGAGAAATCTGGAGAAGTTTGTTAGCTTTGGGAAAAGTTATAGCAGTCACCAACTAATCAAGACCAAGGTCACCTTAGGGTTACCGCTGCAATCATCCACTGTAACATAACCTGGTTCTGTCCAGTTCTGAGAAGGACACAAGCTCTCTCTCTTTTTGGAAAGAAACAAGGCAACTGTTTTTGTTTTCCACTTTTTTTCTACACAGAAAATACAGAAGTCTTTTCTTCTCTGCAGCTTTCTCAGATTGCACTGATCACACAGCAGAGGGAGTTCACCTGTGACTAATGATGGACATCTGACCTGGCCCTGCAGGGAAAAGGATGCAGGATTCACACATAGATGCATGTAAAAACAAGAAAACATGCAAACAGCAACATGTAGAGAAAGGCTCAGGACGGGTGGATTTCTTTATTTGGAAAAAACCAAGAACTTTCATGATTTAGCAGCTTTGTCTGACTTTGTTGTGGAGGGATGCATTAGTTCGATTCTAGAGTTTAATTTCTGCATTTAGGTTAAGCTCTGGACTTTGACTGGGTCATTTGCAATATAGTGAGTGCTTTCTTTTTCAGGCATTTTTATGGCTGTTGTAGCATTGAAACTAATTGTTGTGTTGGTGAACTAGTTTGGCCGTATATTCAGCTGTCACAAAAGGTTTTCTTCACATTTGACTTGGTAAATAATTTGGAACCAAGATGTCCAGGTCCTCTGGCTGCAGACCAAGCCCACATCATGACTTCTCCACCACTGTGCTAGACTGTTCTTCATTTTGTCTGTCCTGTTTGACTCTTTTGCTGCATGTAGGTGTAACTTTGCAAACCATTGCCAAAAATCATGCAACCATTTTGTTTTAGAGAGCCACCGGCAATACTTTTCAAACAAGCCAGGCTTTGTCTGTTATTGTCTCCTGTCACAAACTTTTAATATTTGGTGTGTGACCTGAGGACTGAAGAGTCTAATGTTCTCTGAATTGATGCACCAACTGATTTTGGGGGGATTTTGTTGAGCCGTTGATCCTGGAAAATTGCCAACTTTCTGAAACGTTTTCCACTGCAAATAGCTTTTCTTTTTGCAGAATGGCAGAGCTACGTTTGCTGTTGTGCAAATGAAAGACGAGTTCATTACGTCCATTTTTCCACTGATCAACATTCTGCTTTGAAGTAATTGCGTATCCAAGAGCAACAGTTAGTTTGCGGTTTAAAGCTCTAATCTTCATATTTCTGGTTTCCGTCATCACTTTCAGTTTATGCTGATGTCCCTGCCAGATTAGAAGTCCTCCTTTGTGCATCACACATATCACACATTTCTCTTGCTTATTTTAGCTCTCTGATGCTGTCCGCTGTGTGTCTCACTGGCGTGTTTTTGCATGCTGATCCCAGTCGTCCTCCTCCCCTCGTGTCCGTCGTCTTTTGTAAAGATCGGATTTGTCTGGCAGGTTTATTTTTACCCCTCAGTATTTAGGTTTTGCACCATCTTTCTCATGCGTTCAGCCTTTGTTTTGGTTTGTCTAAGAGCTTTTTTTTTTTTTTTTTTTTTCTTTACTCATTGTCTCCTTCATGCATCAACCCCCTGGCCACGCCCAGGGAGGGATCTCACTTGGAGATATCACCCGTCTGAGTGTGCAGGTGTAACGTGTGTGAATAGTCTGGACCTCTTAGAATCTGTGCACATTTTTAAACTTTATGTGTGTGGGTGTGGGTGTGTGTGTGTGTGTGTGTGTGTGTGTGTGTGTGTGTGTGTGTGTGTGTGTGTGTGTGTGTGTGTGTGTGTGTGTGTGTGTGTGTGTGTGTGTGTGTGTGTGTGTGTGTGTGTGGTCTGCACTGCAAAGACTCTTTACTCAACTTGTGCACTGCCTGCTTCATGGACTCTGAATGACACACACCAGTTAATTAGGGATGAAGATCAGATTAATGGCTCCCAGTCAAACACAGGAAAATACCTGTCGTTTATTTTACTCAGCGCTGAGCATGTCCAGTCCTGCTGCACAGAAAAATGCCTCTGTGTTCACTACAGATCCTCCAGCTTCAAGGCTGAAAGAAGAGTTACCAGAAATAGACAAAAGCAACATTTTGCAAAAGCCATATAAAAAGCACAAACATCAGTGTGTTTAATGTGATGGGTATTCTTCTGCTCATGCATTGATTGCACTAATAGCAGAACTAGTTTATCATTTAGTGCTTTAGAAATTTTGTTGATAATTGTGAAGATTAGTTGTATGAATGAAATCCATAGCAACCATTTACCATTAAAATAACCTTAGTTAGCAACAACCTGAAGACCAAGGAGCGCAGCAAGGAGGAAGGTTGGAGAAGTGTAAAGCAGAGTTGGGTTAAAAAACAATATGACAACAGTATGTTGTGTGTCAGAATGGTGTAGTCAAAGTCCAGACATAAATCCAATTGAAAGTATGTGACAAAACCTCAAAATTGCTGTTGCAACCTAATCACAGCGTACAGCTTTACCTACTTTCCCAATAAAATACTGAAGTTTCTGTTGGTAAGGTGACAAAAAGCAGAGAGGTTCTTTGGTTAAGGTGACAGTAATTTTCCATAGAGTTTATAAGTTGCTTCATAAAGTGTATGATAATGTTTTTGGCACTTGTAGACTGATTGCATCTTTGTTTTCTTATCTTTAAATAAACTGAAACTTAAAACATGTCACCTCCTGCCTTCCTGTAATTTTTTTTTAATTATTTAATTTTTTTTCAGTTTTCCAAGGAAGCACAGTGAACATGCACAGGACAATACTTGCAGATTCACAAAATGTTGCATTTCTTACAGAACAGGACACTTTCTGTTACAATGATTTTAAAAGCTCAAAGTTGCTCCCTGAAGTTTAACTTCTGCTGTTTTCATCTCAGATTCAGCTGGAACTGGATAAGTACCTTCCCCAGGTCAACTGCCCCCTGCTGACCACCTCCACAGACGTTGAAAAGAAGTATAGACGAGAGAGCGCATCCGTGGTCGACGAGTACTTCTCAGAGGACAAAGCTCCCACCCCTTACAGCCTCAACATCAACCTCATCCTCCCCAGCACCACGCACCTTCGCACAGGCCTCTACAGGCCCAGTAACCCCAAAACGCTGACGCCGCAGCAGATCAAGACAGAACCGGGCCTGGAGGTTCCCTGCTCCCTCCCTGCCACCACCCAGGCACTGCCAGACTTCACCTCGGTCTTCAGCGTGCCGCCGGTGGTCAACAATGTTTTCATCAAGCCGGATATGAGCTCCACCGGTGGGGTGACGGTGTCCACTGCAGCTCAGCAGCAGCAGCCACACTTGGACACAGAGCTGCAGATCGGGCCGCCACCGCCGCAGCCGCAGGTCTACCACATGCCCAGCTCAGACCTCACCCTGTCACACAGCGGCACAGCAGCCCAGGGCTCCACCGGTGGCAGAACCATGCTGAACCTCGGCACCGCTGCTTTGCCAACAAACAACGGCGGCTACATGATGCACGCTGAGCACCAACTGCAGCAGCAGCATCACGGCTACTACCAGGCGTCAACCCAGCCCACGGCGCCCCACAGCCTGCCGCCCTCACCACCGAACTCACAACCAGGCAGTCCGGACGGCCAGCCGGAGCTGCTCACCCTCGGGACGCAGCCGCCGCCGTACCAGCAGCGCCTGGGGGGCCTGAAGGTGACCGGACTTTCTGCCCACGCACTTCTAATGACGCACGGCCAGGGCGTTCTGACGGGGCCCAAATACAACCGACGGAACAATCCAGAACTGGAGAAGAGGCGAATCCACTTCTGTGACTATCAAGGTGTGTGTGTGAGCTAAACATGGACACAGAAACATTGTGAAGTAGAAAAATCATCCATGATTTCTCTTTTATCATTCTGGGCTCAATTGGAAAAAAAGAAAACAAAACACATTTTTTTCAATTCTCAACAATAAAAACATTACCCAGGTCAGTGTTCGATTGAAAACACCTTCTGCATTTAGCCAAATTAAAAGCAGATTTGGATGCATCAAGGTGTAAATTAGAGTATAAGTCAACTTATTACTAATAGATTTTTACTTTAAAGTCTTAGTTATTTTCTAATTCATTTAATTTCTGTTTGCATTCTGGTCACAAAGCTGCTTCCAGGGCAGTTCTCCAGTCAGCATCCTGCATGCAACCAGATTTAACAGCTTGATAAACAAATTGTTAGCAACAGCAAGTTTCAGCACAACCACTCCAACAAGTTTGTCCAATTTGCAGCCAGAGTCGCTGTTGGGTAAACAAACTGAAACCCAAAAGCAAAAGCGCACAAACACGCAAGATCGTTCAGGAAGGATTTTCCCATTGCCAGCATCCTGTTAATAAAGCAACATACCAGCAGATTAGGGCTGATTTCAACTCGATAAGAAACATTTCTAGCAGACAACGAAGACATTGGTCTTGGTTGTCTGCACAATTTATTGCAACACTGTTTATTAGGTATTATATAAGTTTGTAGTTCAAAATATATGGCAGTTTGTTTTTCGCCTCATAAGAAACTGAGAAAAATGAAGTTCTGCTGCAAGATGTGGATCTTCTACTGTTTGATCTAAGCGGATGTTGTAGTTCTTCAGGAATACTTGTGTCGTTTGTTGAGGACGTCTCTGCTTCCTGCCTTGCTCATCAGCTTCTCCAATGTTTCTTCACAGGTTGTACCAAAGTTTACACAAAGAGTTCCCATCTGAAGGCGCACCAAAGGACACACACAGGTAAAACCTCTTCCCAACTGGCAGAGAGAGACTGTGAAGTGGGTCTATTTGTTTGGCATCACTTCCTCATTTCCTGTCTGGTCACCGTCTGTTTATAGAGAAACCTTTCATTTGTTTATTTATTAATCCAGAGTTCTCACACAATCTGGAAAATGTTCTTTCCATCCTTACTTCCTCTTCTTCTCCTTTTGTTTCCTTTTATCCTTCCTACCTCTTGTCTCCCCGTTCTGTTTCTTCTTCATCATTCTCTCTGAGCTCCTTCCAAATACTGACTGAAAACCAAAAAAGGATAGAATGTATCTTGGTAATGAGAAATTTCTAGAGACACTGAAAGTCACTTTAAAAATGTTCTATGAATGATTTGGCTTCCTTCTCCATAAAGCAATATTTGATTGCATCTTACTAATCCTATCGGTGCAAATCCATGACAACACTGATGGCTGCTGACCATCGCAATCTCCTCTCCTCATCAAAAGGTTTAGAATAAAATAACAAGTTTGGTTTGCATCCTTGTCTTTGTTCATCCTCTGACCATTTTTACAATTAATTCAACTAAGTAAAAGTCAAGCCAGCAACTGACTAGCTCTACAGGAGCTAACGTATGTTTAGGTTTTCTTGATGTCCATATTGGCGAATGGGCTGTTTTCTAAAGACATTTCATGTGCTGAGGGTCAATAGCAAAAGGGAAGTTTTAGGAGATGACAGGAAAACCTGCTGTGGTTTACAATTTGGAGAGGGCAGGACTGACATTAAGACCACTTTAAAAAAAAAATCAAGAACCTCTGGTTGCTTGGAAATGCTGTGTAAAACCATGAAGCCTGGTTCAGGAGTGATTTATGGGCTCAGCGGTTGCAGATCACTGGATTTTCTGGTTTTATCAGTCACAAGATGTCTCTGAAAGCTGCAAAACAACTTGAAGATACGCTCCATGATAACGTTTTAGGACTCAACAATCTTGTTTTTGCATTATGCGTCAACTTTGAGCATGCAATGTCAGCTTTTTGTAGACATGCTTGTTCTTCTGTCCCATCTTTTTTATGTCTAATTGCAAAACGGCAAACACCCATTCAATCATACTGTAACTATTATCCTTCTGATGAAGCCACTTTAAGCTTATTTATTCAAATGTTGCATGTTTGTCACTTAGCCAGTTTCGATACGCCCTCAAACAATAATAGAGGTGAAGAATAAGAGCGTAATTAAAATGAAAATGACACTCAGGCGATTTTAGTGTTTGTTTTTTTTGCTTTCTTTTTGTTTTTTGTCTCCAGCACACGTGTTCATGCTCATACTTGTCTGCTAAATTTCTCAAGAGAGCGAGAACAAAGAAGGGAGGGAGGAGATCAAAATGAAGAAAAGAGAATAAAAAAAGAGGGAAGACGCACGATTAAACGAAGACCAAACCAGTTCCTCCTGCTTTTCAGTTCCTTTTCAGCGTAAGCAGAAGTTGAGAGGTAAAAGGGGCTTTGCCTGCAGAATGGGGGCAGGCTGGTTTCGACGTTTCCTTTTGGTAAGGTGAAACCTGCCGATTCCCAGCGGCCTCGCCTCAACCTGTGTTTTAGAGATTTACTCATGCGATTAAAAAGCTGCGCGGCTCCTTCAGCACAGAGGTTTGAACCCGCAACGAATGCAACGAGCAAACAGAAACGGACCATAAACGGATAAGATGAGACTTTATGGATGTGAGCGGGGAAGTTTGGCTGTTAAAGCAGCAGGACACGGCAGCATAGTGCAAACAGACTATATGTAATATAGTAATATGTCATGAGAATAGTAAACAAATAACATAGACAAATATATAAAAAGAATGACCACTGTGTAGATCAGGCATCTGTAGCCTTTACAGCCTAAATGAGACATGCTGTAGCAGAAATTATAGCTCCAATTTTGGTCAAAAAATATGAAAATATATTCATTTTTCTGACTTTCATTCAAATCTATAAAGTGATCTTAATCCACACTTATCCAGGTGTTTTGGATTAGTGTAGGACAGTTTACACCTCTGACTTGTGAATTATTCATGCATGAAAAGGCTTCTACACTAAAGCTATCATTAATAAAATGAATAAATCAATCAATCAAATTTTATTTGTATAGCATAAAAGCATAAATCATGTGTTTATGAATAATGTTGCTTTGTTTATTTGTTTCTAGCACCGATGGTAATAAGGGCCACAATCCAGTACAATGATATGTTGAATTAATATTTATGTACAGTCGACCCCCGGTATTTACACCTGTGAATCTTCTCATTACGTTTACATCTCATGTATTCTTCCTCTCCCATTGTTGTTTCAACTTTTTATCTCCAGATGTTTTAACAAGATTTTTCTAGTTTTCCATACCTGTTTATGTTTCCCGGTCAAATATTGATTGACTTCCTGATGAGACCAGCTCAAGTATAAATGACTTACCTGGAGTGTAAAACTTGTGTGACGTTTACGGCGATGCTTTGCCATTTTTTCTCGCTAATTAATTGCGGAGATCAGCAACTTTCACATCTGACCTGTTTTCTAATCAGATTAGAAGATAATCTGATTATTTTTATTGTTGCACTGACCCATTGCAGCTCTTTTAGGTCTGTTTCAGATTCCTGGAAGAAAAAGTGTATTCTTCCTTCCACAGTTGATTTTGTGAAGTTGTGTACTTGTGTACGTGTGCTTATATGACCATGATATTTAAAATTTCTTTCTCAAGTGCAATCCGTTCAATTTTGCCTGAGATTTTGCAAACAAGCCTGGCTGCATCACCTGCAGGTTGTCAGCCTGTGGAGGACAGGAGCAGATTATGTTTGCTTGATATTTGTCTCGTTTTAATCTTCCAGTAGATAAAGGCTTGTTGCTAAGGTTCACACCTGATGTCAGACTACAGAGTGAAACTTTTTGATCTAGGCTTTTGTTAGATGCTGAAAATTATTTTTGTACTTTGCTTAGAAACTTCGGTGTGTTTATCTTGAACTGATTGAGTTAAAAACGGCGCTCAGCACTGAAAGTTGCCCCCTGTTCAGTTGCTGTATTGGTGATAGTACTTTGACATTTCTTTACCTCTAGAATTGAATATCATGCCACGCTGTATTGTGTTACAAAGTTAGCAACTGCTAATCAATCACAGGGAAGAAGCACAATTTATGGTGGCATGAAATAATGATCTTGTCATTATGCCTGAAAGAACATTTCAAAGAACATTTTAGATTTTTTTTCTGCTAGAAATAAGAAAAGAAGTCAGCTGAGATGATTCAGAGATCAGATTGGGATTCCTGCTGGACGTCTCCCTCAGGAGATTTTTCAAAGTCTTTTTACCCAGCATGCAGCTGCTATGAAATATTTTGTCCGTCTCTCCACTCCTTCAGTGATAAAATAGTCCAGATTTAAAGACACGTTGTTTTTATAGCTTTCATTTTGACAGAATCATAGTTAATTATTACACTGACATCTAATTCACTGATGAGAAAGAGTTAGAATGTTAATAGTGTTCACTGACAAGCATCGGCTTCAGCAGTAAAAGTCTGTTTCTGTGGAAGTGAATCACCATCTACAGCTTTGTTGGAGAAATGGGCCCCTCCCATGAGCTCCGAGAAGGGAGTGGGGTTTAAGGGCCAACCTTGGCCATGGCCGCCTCAGCTCTTCACTTTGACTTGAAGTTGTGTGTCGATACCTAAAGAATGCAATCAGCCCGATTAGGTAACCCTCCAGCCCTCTTCACAAACACTAACCACGCTGATAAAACTTGAGTTTATGGGCGTCCTGAAGAGCCTGAAAGTGTTTGCTCTTTGACTCCGTAAAAAAATAAAAAATAAAAAGGCAGTGATGTTGTAAAAATAAATGATTATACTTCATTCGCATTAAACCAGACAGTCTGTACAAGTCTTATGCGTTTGAACCACAAAGGCAAAAAACCGAAAACCTGTAATCTTAAATTCAGCTGCTGACGAACTGAATAGCTGCCGAAGTGCAAGGAATGGTAAAAATGTCCCAATAGAAACATTAAAAATAATTATTTCTAAATCTAAATGTAACTTTAGGCTTAAAATGTTGAAATACTTACAAACCTCAGTTGTCAAATTTTTCAAAAGCTCTTTGTTCTTTCTGAAGTCATTTCTGAATGAGAGAAAAGTATCTGACATTTCTGTGGAAATGTTTACAACTTTTAACTCCTAGTTCTGTTGCCATGGTAATCCATAGGGCCTAAACTGGCCAGTTTAAAAACTGTTCAGCCACTCATTTAAAATTTTCACTTCCCCTGCCGGCAATGTCTTGCACAATCAAAGATTTTGTGCAAGACATTGAGGATCACAAGCACGTTTTATTCTGCTACAGTTTAAAAACCAACAAATGTCTCCTGTTTCTTCAATTTCTGCTCACTTTTCTACCGTTGTCAGTTCATGTGGTAATCCCCTAACTGAGGTTGTAGCTCTGATGTAGTGAGTGGTGCTGCTTTAACAGTCTCACTGCCTCAAAGAGGACACTTTTCTCTTTGGTTTGCTGTTTAAGTTGTACACAAAGTCTGAGAAAGAAGACTTTATTTAGAAAGGATGGTGAAAACTGGTTCACCACTACAGGGAGTGACGAAAACCCACAAAATTCTGTACTAAAATTGGTCATATTTTTAGTCCATAATGCACAGCAAAAAAAAATTATCTCACTAGTTAATCTGGCTCTTATTAAAGAGCCGCAAACAATCATAAACTTTTACTTAAAAGCAGACCTGGGTGCCTCCACCTAGTGAATAAAACCTCAAACAATTTAGAAGAAAAAGCGACTGATGTTCTGTTGTTGCTTCTGAGCTTCTAGCCCAAAATCTCTTTACAAAAATCAACCTTAAAAACTAAAAACTGTCTTATAATAACACATTCATGGAAGATCTTTTTTTTATATTCTGAGTCTACATCTCAGAATAAATTTAAAAGAAAATTCACACAATCATTGTTGTTTTGATAAAATTGTAATAAAACTACAAGAAATGTATTTCAATTGTTAAAAAAAGGAGCATGTTTCTAATCCAAATGCTTTCAACTATTTTGGTTTAAAAAGAATGGAGAGAAACAGGCTCTCACTGATGGGAATTCTGCTGGCATATAAAGGAAGAAGCTGAGGTTTTGGCTCCCTTTTAAATCGTGAGACTTAAAGTTTCTCAGAGAGTAAACGTGTATCTTCCATATAAAGTCCCCATCAGGCTGAATAAAAGCCTCTCTTTGTTCGGATTGATGGATGCCCTCTCGCCGCTCGCAGTGTGTTTTGTTGTGATTGAGTGGGTGAGACTGTGCGTTCATCCATCATGGCTTATGATGTGGTCAGAGTTCGTGAACCCATTAACACACGCATAAGCAATACTGTAGTTTGACCGTTTTTCTAGTCAGCCACCTGATCAAACAGCTGCTGGCTTCCATTTACCAATGGAAGCCATGGTAAATGGCTTCCATTTACCACGTCTGCAAAGGCTTTTAAGAGCTGATTCCCTTTGTCTTTATTGCCATTTTTTTTAAAATGATGCAGTTTGCAGCTTTGAAATATCGTATAAATTGTGTTGCTAATCTGCAGGATTTTTCTTGGGATTGAAGACGAATGCAGGCAGGTGTAGATGGATGACTTTTCACCTGCCCTTTTGGCAGCTTGTCGAGGAGCATATAGCAGTCAAGTATGTTTGTTCTGCGCTCCTATGTGTCGTATTTCACCAGCTCTCAGGGATAATAGTCTTAGAGAGCAGACTGGGCTTCTTTTGACCTCAGCGGCGCAGCGAGAGAGCAAAACCAAACACACCTGTGGCATTGAAGGGCCTGAGCTTTTCATATTTGTACTTTAAACTCCTCTTCCATACACCAGGAGTTACGATGTTCTCCATATAAGGAGACCCTAGTGCCGTTGGAGAGTTTCAGTGATATATTTTAGTGGATTTTGGGAAAAGACCAACATTGTTGGTAAAACATGATTACACCAAAATTCTTTAAAACCTTCTTTTGTTTTCCTTGCCACCCACTGTTTGCTCTTTGGACTCATAATGACTGTCACTTTGTTATTGATGGAGGCTATCTAATCAGAGCTAACAGAGTCCATGCTAATAATGAGAACATAATGACCCACCAGACAAAACAGAGTCAACTCTTCACATTTTTTGATAGAATAGCAAAAGCCAGTTTTGTAGAAATATTTAAAGTCTTTTTTACCCAGCATGTAACTGCTGGGTAAAAAAATTAAACCCCAGCAAACTTCTGGGGTTTGGTCATTTTAACTCTTTTTATTCCCAGATATTATTTTGCACCTCAGCTTTGAACTATTGCATTTTTCCTCTCTGTCATGTACATACCTCTTTTTTTTCTTCTTCTTCTTTGTTGATGATTAGCTCAGGTGTTTGGCTTCGGCACGTCGCTACACAGCAGAGAAATGTCAGCCTTTGGGTGTGGTGGGATAACTGTCGAGTTAGATTTACTCGGCTTGTTTTTCCGCTCTGCATTGAATCCATTTTTCACAGGTTCTTTGTCATCAAACCTCCTTATCATTATTGGCCCTTTTATTATTGTAAGACCAGTGGAACTTGTCTTGTTTCATAGAATCAACATTACAGATACAAAAAGATTTTGCAACAGTTGGATAATTATTGTTTCATATGATCTCTGTGCTGCACGCTACATGTGACTTTTATGTTTTTTTTCTTAAACAATACGAAACTGTTTACGGAATATTTGACCATCTCTTGTGAAATTGCAGAGTTTGTAAATTTTAAGCAGGCTGAGGCTAATGTTAGCCTGCTTTATTTTCTTTAAACCCAGTTTGGATGTTATTGTCCTCATTTCTGGAGTCCAGACTTCTTTTTGATAAAGAGTCAAGTTAAAACCATCAAGATGAAAATGTTACAGGTGTGTTGCACAAATTGTTCAATCTCACCTCATAAATGGATAGAAGGAATTTAGACTCTACTTCAGGAAGCTGATCTCAAACACAAATCATAAATGAATAACACATTTTAAAATTTTGGATACTTGGATATCTATGTTTAGATGTTTTTTTGGGACAGACAATAAAGTATACTCACAGTTTTATCAGCATTAAATACTGTGTTTTACTCTGGTAATTGCATAAAACTATGGATTTAATGTAAATAAATCTTAGCTTCCAAATGTCATTTCACTTATTCAAATACTTATATGAACAAGTGCTTTCTGTAATAATAAATTATGTGAGTGTAAATAAGGGAGTGACTACAACTTTACCCTTTAAAAACAAAAGTAAATTTGCTCAAAAATACACATTCATTTTCAAGACTACATTTTTTAGAAAAGGAAGTAAATTTTTTCTGTTCATGTTACTTTCTGAAAATTACATTAAAATACTTCAGCAGCATCTTAATGTGAACTTCTGATGTTTGGTTATCAAACATCTCAAATTTTGAATATATTGATATTATGTTATTGCTTACATCATGAAATTTTGTCTACTAGTCCTTGGTAGTGACTTCAAGACTTTGAGCGATTGTCGCTTTTTTGCCTGACTGTTGGATGCTTCAGTACCTGATTGTGTAAATGCATGAACTTTGGTTTATCTGCAGGTCTATCACTGGTCTGTATGAGATATAATCGTGATGTCGAAGCATCTCGTAGTGTGCTGATGACAATGTGTTCTCCTGTTTTCACTTCCAGGTGAGAAACCGTACCGATGCACGTGGGAGAACTGCGACTGGCGCTTCGCCCGATCGGACGAGCTCACCCGGCACTACCGGAAGCACACCGGCGCCAAACCCTTCAAGTGCGTGGCCTGCAGCCGCTGCTTCTCCCGCTCGGACCACCTGGCTCTGCACATGAAACGCCACCAGAACTAGAACCAAGCTGCCTGTGGATCCAAACCAAAACAGTCAAAGAGAGCAGCATCCACATATCCCAGCCACTTGTCTGGACTCTAGTACATCTTGACTCAAACACTCCAAAGAAAACCTCGGGGTGCACTAAAGGACCTGATTTTAAACTACAAGTTAATCTCTTTGTAGATAGATCTTTTCTGAAGATCGCTTCCAGGTTTCAAGAATGGACCCCAAAACACCTGATTGTCATGGAAAACTTTTTTTTTTTCCCTACAAAATGACTGTTTTCATCTTCCAACTGCTTTCAACGAGACATGTCCTGCCTGTGTACATACATGTGCATATATCTGTGCGTGTGTGTGTGTGTGGGGGGGGGGGGGGGGGTGTGTGTGTGTGTGTGTGTGTGTGTGTGTGTGTGTGTTTGAGAATACAGCGAATGTATTTAGCATTATACTTGATGACTTTTCTTTTTCACTGAATGCGATCCTGAGTAATGTTCTGTTTTGTGACTTCCTTGTGATAAAAATGAAAACCTCCAGCTGAGGGCCTGAATGGGGGAAAAGAAGCAAAAAAAAAAAAAAGAACTAGCAGATGAAATAACGCAGCCCTCCATGGAGGGGTTCATCAGAAGCTGGTTAGGCCTGCTCCAGCTCAGGTATTACCTGTCGAACCCACTGTTTGTATTCTTCATCCCTGTTGCCCCGGTGACTAGAATGTCAGCAGATTTTTTTTTTTTTTTGCACTGCAGTCTATTTGCTCCTGTTTGTTTTTTCTTTAATTGTTCTCATATTTGTTTAACGCTTTAGCTCTGAAAAGGCAGATGCGGCTGGGCAGAACTTTTATGTAATCAGGTTTGTCCTCCTGGTTATTTTAATGCGTCATGTGGCAGGAAAATGACTCAGGCAGGTTAGCATTCACTGCAATGTGTACGTGACTTACTGATGAGGCCTGTGAAGCGTTAGGGCCGCACTTTCTACACGGCAGATTTGACTTTAGAGTTCTTATCCTGACTGGAGAAATATGGGAAAACCCAAAAAGTACTCAAAAGAATTTCTACTATTAATTTCAATTTCAGTTGGAAAGTACTTTATTTATCCCAAATGAAAATTTGATGTTGCAACTTATGTCTTCAAGTATCTCCGAAGACTTGTTTTGGATTGTGAAGGACCTCCAATAGCAGTCAGTCTTACAACAAATCTGAAGTCCCTGACTGAGGACTGGTCCTTTATGATGGACTCATGACTGTCGTCAAAGCTCAATATCCGGGCAACAGAAACAGTTTTCCACTCTCAGATGTCCCAGATGACAATCCAGCTGCTAATCCACTTTATTTGCTTTTGTCACACCTCTTTAAATCTCCGTCTGGTTCTTTGGTTAGAATTCGACCAAGAGACGTTGGACTTGATCCTTGCCCGTTACACTGCAAAACCACAAAATCTTGACAAGAATTTCTGGTGTTTTTAATGCAAATATCTTAAAATACCTGAAATGAGATCAAACTAACTTACAAGTAACTTTTCAGCAAGACATAGCAGCTTGTTTTAAGTCCTTAGTTGATACTGATATTATTGACTCAAAACATGACTTATATCTTGCTGAAAGTTACTTGTAAGTTCTGTCTTATTTCAAGTGAAGTAAAATATTTGAGATAAAAATACCTTCTAATAGTTTGTGTATGTAGTCTATGATTGGTGGAAGAGATCTTTGTATCTCCCTCCTTCTCTTTCTAATTTACTTTCTATACCTAAAAGACAAACACGTTCACTGTTTGGCTTCTGATCTTGACCCAAATTAAAACCTGAGTAGTTCTGGAAAATAGAGACAAAAGTTTGCGATTGCCCTGACTGATCCCAATGAAAGATTTCACTCCATGGAGGCTGGCTGTCGATTAGTTGATTTAAGTGAAAACCTTCCTGTTATTTCAACAGTGTGATTATTCTACTTTTACTTTTTTTTTCTTATTTTGTCACCAAGGAAGAAAGTTCTCCTGTCTCTCTCAAAGAGGGAACACAGACCAACCAACTGTGTACATAACTGCAGTCTTAACCGAAGTCTCTGTAAATATTTGTTTTATTTACTATTATAATAATATTTTTGTTTCCTTTTTTTAAACTAATGGGATTTTAGATTGGTTGTTTGTGAGAATTTGTTTAATTTTGTTTTGATACCTAATGTGTGTAAGAGAATTATCAAATTGTCGATGTACAAATTATAAAGAACAATGGTTTGTTAGTGTGTTTTTCTGTTTGTGCAGCAGTGATGTTGCAATGGAATAATAAAAGATTTTTGGAAACTATTTCAAATTCTTGGTGTTGCTTATTTTGAACTGTGATTGGTGGAGGATAGTGGAAAAAAAAAAGATAACTAAACCGTCCTCTGTGCATCATGCTTCAGTTTAGCAAGATTAGCTAACAGGACCGTCGTGTCTTTGGAGATAAGCTGGAGATTTCTGAGATGGCTGATTTTGTGTATTGACCAGAAATGGTCAATACAGAACCATTTCTGTATTGACTTAGCAACATGTTTTTAATCATTAGAAATCTAAATATTCCATTGATGACCCTATTCTCTTTTACTGTAATAATTGCATTTATATTGTGCTTTCCACATTGTGTCAACCACATTGTCTTCACAGAAAGATGTAAGTTTGATTCTGAGTTAATTACCCTTTTGTGTCGACTCCTCCGCTCCAGACTTTTTTGCAACTTGCATGATATGAAAGTTGACGCCGCTAGCAAAACACAAAGGTGCATGATGTTCTGATGGAACAATTAAATACAAAGAGTAATTTGGTGCATGAAGATCCAAATGTACTCTGTCATTAGGTTTGTGCCAAGATGATTTCAGTCTGGAGCCTCAGAGGCCAGACATCCAGATCATTTGGAATGTGTTCCTTATGCAGTGGAAAACATATTTACACACAGAATAAAAAGACAGATTTTTTTCTCACTGTCTGAAGTTAAATCACATCGAACTTGTTTTAACTTTGTTTGAATTACTGAAAATGTTTCTATTTGGTAAATTGGAAAAAACGGCAAGAAAATTTTTTGCAACTTTCTTTGAACTCAAAATTGACTTGTGATTCCACTTAACTCAAATATATCACTTAATGATATAAGTGATATTATATCATGACATCATGATGATATCATATCATATTGATATAATTATGTAACACATAATTATATCAATAATTAAATATTACATAATTATATGTAATTATGAAACTGGCTGACTGTATGTAAAATTTTGAATTTGAGAAAGTTACAAAAAAATGTCTAAAAATTGTTCTCACCAAATTTTTGGACATTTCCAAAATATAAATAATTTTGGTAAATCTAGCTGACCTAAAACAAGAAAAGTTTTGATTTAAAAGTTAAATGTCTGATTTAACTTCAGACATTGAGAAAAAGTATCTGGTTTGAACAATACATGTACAAGACAAAATGGAGGAAAACCACGACTATGTTCTGCATTTTTAAACCATAATTTTCACCTTGAGGCTTCCTCAATCCTGCCTGCATTTGAGTCTCCATCAAAAACCAGACATGACACTCTTTAACTCTTACTGTGGAAGGTAATTCTGTTAAGTCAGGGGGCAGCTGAATACAAACACACATCACACTTTTCAGATTGTTATCAGTGAAACATAAAAAAAACATGTATCATCCTTTTATACCCTGTAGATTTCCCCTACTTTGTCCTGGTCTGTGGTTTGCTTCTTCATCTGCACCCAAAGTGCAAACTGGAGTGTTATCAGAGATCCTTCCTCCTATAAACTGACAGACTCCAAGAAACTCAAGTGTTTTCATCACTGCTGGTATTTACATACTTTACTCATTTCAAATAATATTTATTGCTGGTATATGCACACCTCAGTTTGCACAGTTTTACTGACACTTATTGGCAGTAGTATGTTTTTTTATTTATTCTACTCAATTGCACATTTCCTTGGATCAACTATTTTTTAATAATTGCAGTGTTTTATGTTGTCATTTTGCTCTTGATGTAATAGTATGCTACTGTTAAATCTATTTTAGATATTCTATTTTCATTGGTATTTTGACTACTTGTGATTTTGTGGTTATTGCGCTGGAATTTCTCCACTGTGGGACATCAGAAGCTATTTATCTTCTCATTTCTTCCAAATTATGATCAAATTTAAGGTTTATGAAGACTTCTTCAAACCATTGTGCAGTTTTGCTATCGTTTAGTGTCATTAAATATTCTAGTTTCAGTATTTATTTTATTTTTTTTACTTTTTATTGCATATTTGCAAACCAGTATATTGTTGCCGTGGACTGGCACCAGCTGAGCTTTGGCTGGATTCACACGAATGACTCACCTGTTTATCTACACACATCAGTCGCTCTTCCATTTTCTGCCCAGTTACATTTTTTTTCTTTTTGTGCTGAAGCTGACAGCAGAGCACATGGCTCATTCCACAGAAAGTTCCTGTTAAAACTTGTTCAACTGCTTGAAGTTAACTGTCTCTCGGAGGAACAGAAAGTACAGAAAGGCTATAAATACATTTTTAAAATATGGAGGATATTTCCCACAGGCATTCGCCACCTCCATTAATCTTTCATGTTGTTGCTTTGGTTGAGTACTGATAATTGATTATTACTATATTTATTATTATTACTAAGACTTCATTAAATTTGACCATGTTTTTTTGAAACATTATTCCTTTGGGTTCATTTAGTTGTGACAGACACACTAAATAAGGTTAAGGCTGTTTAACAGTCTATCTGTATCTAGCTGGTAGCTAGCAATTTATTGAGCTATTTAGTCCTGTAAGGTTTTTACCAACTTTCCCCTAAAAATGATCGTAATTATTTTGCAAACATTCAGAAGTAAGTTGAAGTTTTGGTTACCAACTATTAAGATATTCTCAAGTACTTAGACGTTTATATTTAACCCTTGTGTTGTCATGGTAAAGGGATCCATTACCATGTTTAGCTGTAGAAAAAACACCCTAAATGATCTTTTTCCGACTCGAACTTTTATGACTTTTCCTAAATTGACCCCATCATTAGAAAAAGTGATTATATTTCCATGTGTACACCACCATGGTACAAGGATTGTCTTAAGGGTCATTTTGGATCCATGAATTATAAAACCATTTAAACGCCAGAATGCAGAAGTAATAACTTCACATTTACATAAATACAATAATAAACATTTATTGTGTAAAAGAAAATTGCTACAACACTTGGCTTCTGGTAAAAAGAAAAAAAAATGTGTAAAACTGTTGTGCGTCTTTTTGTATTGTGTAACAAAAATACATGATGAAAAATATATATGGAATTGAGTTGAATTGGTAAATGTCAGATTGTTTCATCATGCAAAATAGATTTTGGATTTAAAATTAAATTAATTTGCTTTATTTTGGAGTGTTTTTGACCCATAGGACCAGAGGAGTAAACAGAATGTTAGGATCGCACAAGGGTTAAGTTAGCAGTTTAGCATAGCTTTTGCTAAATATCACATTAGTGTAGTGCTTAAACATTGGCCTAAGTAATGTTTATGATCAGTGCTTTAGGGTAGCTGCACTGCTAGCTATCTTAAAGTTCAGAAGTTTCCATCCATTTTCTAACATCCTTGTCCCCAGTGGGGTCAGGAGGTGCTGGTCACCAATCTGTCGCAGGGCAACACAGAGACAGACAACCATGCACACACACACACACACACACAGGGAGACATTATAGAAACCATTTAACCTAACAGTCATGTTTTTGGACCTAGAGTATGCAGTATTAAGTACTTAATACTTAATGTTTGATTCTTATTTTGATCAGCAATAAACAACAAATCTTTTTCAAGTTCATAAGTTAATTTGATTTAATTAAGTCTTAAAATGTACAACACTGCAAGTGGAGAACTGACAGGAGGTTTGATTAAACTTACAATAAGTGACAAAACGCATCTGCTCAACAGACCCAGACATGAGTGACTTGTCCCAACAAAAGCTCAGCACTGATCACCCAGGATGTTCACAGTGAAATTTCCTGAATTGCTTTATAAGAAATCTGAGAGACATTTCTCCTCTCTTCTTGAAATGTAAGAGATGCTGAAGTGGGACAGCAGCAGGTGTTCCTGAATGCCAAACCTTCAGGGTTGAGGATGCCTGAACGGCCTGAGCCTCTGTTTGTTTTAAACACTCTGACACTGTTTCATTTGGAAACTGCTCCTCCAAGTCGTGCCTGAATGACATGTGAGATGGTGGAAATAGGGAAAGCAGCCAAAAAAAAGATGTCAAAACAGCCCTCAACGCCTCCAGAGTGTGACTTCTCGCTCTGACACGCAGGGCTCAGCCGCATTGTTCACCTAAATCCACCGTTTGGTAAAAAGCTGCCTTAACAAAAGATCCACCAAATCCACAGAGCGTTACGTGATGTAATGGACGTCCAACTGGTCTGTTTGGCTGTATTGCACTGACATGTTGCAGGAAACCGTCTGTGTGTTGGTTATGCTGCTCAGATAATTCCTTCTCAGAAAGCAGCAGGAATCAGTTTGGACTGGTGCCTGATCGTGAAGATGCTGTGGAAAAACTGCTTCCAAGAAACCCTGTGATGCTCTGCTGTGATTGTAAGTTTTCAGGCCTGAGGGGCTGCAAGCGAAATGCCTACTGCAGGAAGATCTCTATCAGATATGGAAAATGGAAGGCCTATGAAAAGTATCTTCTCATCAAGTTTGTTCTTATTTTGCTCAGGAAAGCATTCATCAGAGGATCCTAACCCGAACGTTTGACTAACATTATCACATGTATGAATATTCATATAAATTTTAGCACAAGAAAATAATTAAATTAAATTAAAGAAAAGAAATGTTTTGATTTTTATAAGAAAATGAAATTATAATTAATGGTATAAACTTTATTTATTTGAGTTTTATCTAAATAATAAAAACCTGATATATTTATTTTATTTTATTCTAATGTGGGAGTTTTGTCTTTTGGCTAAAAGCTGTCCTCAGTCAGAGATGCTGTCCCCAGTCAGAGACACTGTTCTCAGTCAGAGACACTGTTCTCAGTCAGAGACACTGTTCTCAGTCAGAGACACTGCACTGACCTGGCATCAGAATGCATATCAACAAGCCACCAAGCAGCAAATATTTCTCTTTTATTGCATTTATATGGCTCATAAATGTCTCCATCTGCAAGAATCCAGTGACTGCCTGTGCGTGTGTGCGTGCGTGTGTGCTTGCGTGCATGCATGCGTGCGTGTGTGTGTGTGTGCGTGCGTGTGTGTGTGTGTGTGTGTGTGTGTGTGTGTGTGTGTGTGTGTGTTTCAG